CCGGGGCTAACCGGGTCCTTTCCCTTCCTCTGCCTGTTCTGCTCTTCTGGCTTTTCTTCCTTTCCTTTGGTTCCTTTATTGGAATCCGTCGACGAGGCAGCCTGCAGCTTCCGTTTTTCCATTGTCTCTTTGACTTCAAGGTCCCATAACAAGGCCTTAGCTTCATCCACTTCCTTTTGCGACATGCACCATATCTGTCTTGTTCCTGACTTCTTGTAGACATCCACCACGGCGTTAAAGAGAGCTCTTCCCTTCACTGGTGAAAATTCTGGTCCTTTGCCGGTAGCTCCCAAGTTGTCACATTTCCCATTTCCCTTGTCTCTTCCTTTCGCCCTGTACGTTTGGTTGAGCTTGCTGAACTCCCACACGTAGCCAAGTTTCGGGAAGTAAGTAAGATCACCCGGCATCTGATTCCGTGGAGGTTCTTCGTTTTCTTCCTGTCTTTGCTGTTGTTCCTGTTCTCGGCGATGCACTTCCTCATACTCTGCCGTAGCGTCAGCGACATACTGCTCCAAGAACTCCGAAATCTCCGTTACCCGGCCTTCCACTCCGTCCATGCCTTCGGTAAGGTGCTTCACTGCTTCCTGGAGGTCCTTGATTGAGTTCGGTTCCACGCTAAAAAACTTGAGTGCGTGGTCTTGCTTCTCTTTCATATCGTCTACTTCCTTGACGATGTTCTTCAGCTGCTCCTCTGACTTGAGGACAGTTTCCTCGGACTGCTTCACCTTCTCGACAACTCCACTCGCATTTGCAACGGCCTCTTCAACGCGGCGGACCGCATCCTCTGCATTGGCTTCCCACTCGTCGTGTTTGTCTCGCTTCTCCTGTTCTGCTGCTGCCTCTTCGAGCTTCTTCCTGGCAAACTCCTTCAACTGCTCTTCTTGCATCCCGTGGGTTGGATGCACTACTGGTGGTGTTGCTGCCGTTGGATCTTCTGGTCGCGCTGTCGCCTCGGAGGTTGATGCTTCGGCCCCCGTGTATGTGTCCTCCTCCTCCTCCTCCATTAGACGCGCCCGCCTGGCCTTCTTCCTCCTGCGTCTCGTCTCCTCTTCGTTGTCCTCCTCCGGCTTGGCCGTCCCCTTGTTGATCTGGTTCATGAAGATGTGGGCGGCGACGCACAGCAATGCCAAAGCAAGCAGCAACTCCGTCAGCGTCATGATGCAAAGGGCTACGTGCGGCCTTCTTCTCCTTTTGGAAGCTTGAGAGATTACTGCTCACTGCATCACACTGACACAACCATGGACTGGCATCCGAACCACTTCCGAAATCACTTCCGAAACCTTCCCGGCCTCCCTGGCGTCGTCGTGGTCGTGGTGGTCATGGTGGTCGTGGTCATGCCTGCAGGTCGCGAGCCACACGGGGGGTTTAGGGTGTGAGAGACATCAGCGCCAAGTTTAAGACGTGCGGTTTCCGTCGTTCTTGTACGTCTCGAGGAATACATTGACCACTTTCCTGTCAGAGACATCACTACCCAGCACTTCTTAAGGGCATGCGCCGGGCCTCGCTGCCACCTTCCAGGAATCCGTTGTGAGACTTCACCTGGGAGGTTCAAAGGCTGAAGTGGATGGTGGGTCGTGTCCGTGTGAGCACACTCGAAACCGGACGACATTTTGCACGCACATCCGTAGCTCTGATCTTCATAATGACATGAATCTGAAGTCATTACGGAAGATTGATGTGAAACCTCTGTCCAGGGACACATACGTGAACTCCATGTCAAAAACAATGTCCCTGAATCTCATGCTCGACCACCGCGAAACTTCAATGCGAAGTGCTCTATGTTGTTCCTGAGGTTTTGTAATGTGGTCCGTTGTGTCTCCGTCGTTTTCTGCTTCAGGTCATTCTGCCCCTCGTCCAAAACCAAGTACGCTGTGGCCAGGACTGCCCTCACCAAGTCCGCCTTGCTTGCGTCGTTCATTTGTCGTATGTCCGGTGAGACAGTTGGAAAAAGCTGCTCAAACACTTTGGCGTTGTAGTAGTGGCCGACGTCTCCATAATTTGCTCCATCCGGCCCTTCGAAACTATGAATTCCGTGAATTGAGACTTTCTCCTCTCGGACGCCCCCTTTGGATGAGAAGGCTTTCCTTTCCTGTTTTGAAAACTTGTCGACCCACTCATCTAGGAATGCGTTGTTGCCGTTGGCCTCCGCCAGAGCACGTGCCCACCATGCAGCGGCCATCAGGCTGGCTCGTCTTTCCTCCGTCATGGGGGGCTGTGCACCCTCCGGTTCCTTGGTGGGCTTTGTACCTGAAGGCTCCTGCGTCGGCATCTTATTGCTTGGGACCCTCGGGATTTCCGGGATGTCGTCTGACGGGCCGCTTTGCTTGTGGTCGTTGGTGCCGTCCTTCTCCTCGAGCTGCTGGAACTTTGCCAAGAAGCGATTCCCCCACTGTTCCTGTTCACGCCGCATTGCAAAAATGCCCTGCAGAATCTGGTTCTCCTCGTAGCGCAGCCTCTGCAACTCCATTGTACTTTTGTTCTTTTCTTCCTCGTGGGTCGTTCGAAGGAAAGCTACTTCCTCCGTGATCTCCTTGAGGCGCGTGTGTGTCCACAGCACCGACTTCTCGATGCCGTCGAGTCGTTGCATCACATTGTCCATACGTTGTGCTACTGATGCTTGAAGAATTTGAATGCGAATGCTGATGCTGTTTGCTTCTGCAGCAACCTCGTCCTCGTCCAATCCCGCCAAAGCCTCCGCCTCCTCCTTAGCCTGTCTCTTCCTCTTCTTTTTCTTGTCTGGTTCGTCGTCGTTGTCGTGGTGGTGCATGGTGTAGATGTTGATGCCCATGTACATCAGAACCACCAAAAGTAGGAGCTCAATGACGGTCACCATCACTAGGGGCAGGACCTACGTTGCCAAATATCAAATAGTTGCTATGCGTGCTTGATTTGGCACAATCCTGCGTCACACAGTCAGAGATTCACATTCAAACCAAGCGCTGAGGTCCAAAGTCACGCCTGCACGGCTTCACCTCCCTCCTACCTTCTTCCCTTTGGGGCGAGCACTCATTGCATCACACAGCCATGGACTGCTCGTGCTGCACCGTTCCTGAAACTGCCACGTCTGAAGCACAGAGTTTACAAGTGCCACTGCCCAGCCTCCAGTGAGCATGTTGGTGTGCTCGTCCGTCGTGCTTCTAGGTGAGGAGTACGTAGGCCTTTCGTGCGAGAGACATCACCGCCGAGCTTAAGACGTGCCACTTCCCAGCCTCCAGTCAGCATGTGCCATGAACCGCACATCGCCCCTTTATCATCCCAGCAGCTTCATGGTGCGGGACGAGGTACCTACCAGTCCCGCACCATGAACCTTCTGGGATGATGTAGCCACCGTCAAGGCCTTCCTGCAGGTCACAACCAGGCGCAGCAATGTAAGCATGGATTCTGGCAGTCCTTGTAGATCTCGGCGATCGGGATCGTTGTGACTGAGTCGGACTTAAATCTAAGTCATGTCCCCCGAATTGCAGGTGAGTTTGGCGTTGGGAGGGGCATGCTAGGAATCTGTCTGTATGCTTTACTTTTTGTATGGCTCTGGGCCTGGATTGCCGTGCGAACGAGACAGCTGAGGGCCTTGCCGCCTGCTTGCATTCTTGCGTGCTGTAGCGGACCTTGGATGTAACTACGTGCTGTTCTTCCCAAACCATCCACAACAACGTGACTGAGGCGTTGGCATGATACTTGAACTGGTCCACTTCACGTCTCCATTTCCCAGCCTGGCGGGAAACTTGAATGAACCACACCAGATTGAACAATAAACTTGCCTCAGGATGGGGCAAAACCAAGTAGGCCACACCTGTGCGAGCAGAGCAAAGCAATCTTGTTATGGGTTCGACCAGGGGGCATGAACGACACAAAGCATCGCCGGAAGGTTTTTTGCCTCAGCGTACTGTCTGCTGAGTGATGATTTCAAAAACTCTATGCGCAGGGATTAGGCTTCCTGTGCATCTGTACGTAGAGAGGCCCGGACCAGGGTTTTTTTACTACCTGCTATTTGTTTGGCACCAATTAGCTGACGTCTCCCAAACCTGGTCTGTTCCTGTTGGGAAGCTGCGTGTGAGCCTGGAAAATCACTGTCCTAGCGCTGCTACTGTCTAGGTCCGTAACTACATCAGGGCTCACAAAAACTTCCTAGTGTACATGACTCACTGATGGGGAGTCTTCCAGTTCTCCCAACTTTGCTTCCACTCCTCCTCCACCTCCTTTTTCTGCTGCTGATCCTTCTGCTGCTGATACTTCTTCCATGCTGTGACATGCGGCTGCTTCTGCTTCTCATTGTCCTCGTTCCACTCTTCCCACTGACGCTTTGCCGCTTCTGCCTTCTCCTGTTCTGCCAAACGCTTTGCCGCTTCTTCGTCGATCAACTGTTGTCGAGCCTCGTCTAGTTCCTCTTGGGTGTTGCACCATCGGTCATGGTCCCTGTGGAACTGGATGATGTTGTGCCACAGCTCTCTTCCTTTTATTGGTGGGTTGTCACAACCTCCCTTGCACCTGTATGCCTGTATTCTTTTGTTGAACAGCCACTGCCATCCTTCAGCATAGAAGACTGTAAATTGGTCCTCCGCTTGAGTCTGTTCCGGCTGGCTGTCGGGGTGCGTGCTCTCCGCGTGCCCTGCCGGGCTTGCCCGGCGGCGCTGTTTAGAGTAAACGTTTTGGGTGGGCGGGGCGGGGTGTCTCTGTGGGTAGGAGGAGTTCCCTCGACTGGACCAACTCGAAGATCTCCGCAGTTTCAAAGAGAAAAGTTTTATTGAGCAGTTTTGAGTTTCTATTTTATTTACGTATCGTGCGCTTTTCAGAATGGAGCCAGAAGCTGAGTGCGCGCACAAGCTCATTGCTTATCATGGACGCAGAGCTCAGGCTCAGGAGCAGGGAAAATTTTGATTGTATGGGGCTAGCATTCACAAGCATCGTTGTGACGCATGACTGGACAGTTTAGCTTCACGGTAGCTCCATACTTTAGGACTACGAAAGCGGTAGAAGGGTGGCCCTGCGGCCCATGGTCGGCCATGAGTGGCACAGGACTCGGATGGCCCGCTTTGGTGCCACCATACCGCAACCGCCTTGAAGAGTGGTTTAGCACGCCTGAGAAATTGCATGCCTCATTCGACACGAGGGAAGAGCTTGTATCATTGCTTAGGGCTTGCGATAACACACTTCTTGAAAGTAGCCTGCAGTTGATTGCGGATGCACTTCTTGAATGGCATGCAGACAATGCTCGCACAGTTGCGAGTGGGCGCAGGGAATCAAGGAGGCGCTTGACAGAGTGCTTGCCCAGTGTCCCGGGAACTGGCCTTAGCTTGCATGAGCATTACAATCAGATTGCACTTCAGAGTCCACTTGCGTTGCTTCCGGTTCTTCGCAAGCGGAAGTTAGCTACTGATAGGGTCGTAGATCGCGGTGCCAGGGCCACTGAGGAGATACGGCTTCGGCAGGAGTATGCATTGCGTCTTGCAGCCATCATGCAGGAGGCGCAACTGCCGGTGTGCAAGGTGCTTGCAGGGGTCAGCAATGCCGAGGAAGCCTGGCCACGGCTGTTCGGGACCCGTCGATCCAAGACATTGAGAAATCGCTTTAGAGCTTGGGACAAGTTTCGGGAATGGTTGCTTTATAGCCGTGGCAGGAGCTATCCGGAAGGGGTAGCTGATGTGCTAGATTATACCAATGAACGATTCCAGGAAGGATGTGGAAAGACAGTTCTCGAAAGCCTGCAAGCCTCTCTCAGTGTAATTGAAGGTGTAGGGCGCGTGCCGTCTACGCAGCAGATATCTCAGGATCCCACATGGCAGGCGCAGCTCAAAAGTTACACGGCCGATTTGGTTTCGGCGGCACCGCCGGAGCAGCCAGCCAGCATGCTCACTGTTGCTATCGTTCTTGCATGTGAGATCTTCGTTTGCACGCCCGGGGAGCCTAGTTACTTGAGAGCATTGGGCTTTGTCTGCTTATTGATGGTTTGGGGATCGCTTCGGGCTGATGATGTTCAGGGGCTCTTGCCGCAGACCATGCTTCTGGACGAGCGAGGGCTTAGCATTGATCTCGCGCGGTCCAAGACTACAGGGCCCGACAAAAGGACCCACACCGTCAAGGTCTTCGTGGAACGGAGTATCTCTCTGACAGGGCATGATTGGCTGAAGGTCGGATATGCACTTTGGAAGGATTTCGATTTTGAGAGGGATTATCTGGTTTTGAAGGCCAATGAAGGTTTCACGGAACCCCTGGAGAAGTCGGTGCCTTCCTCCACGGTGGCCCTTTACTTCCGCAAAGTTCTCAGTGAGTTGAAAACGCCCAAGCGTGAGGGGCGCACATGGAAGGCCAATGATCAGCGTCCGCTGCTCCCGGGATACACTTCCAGTCATTTTACGGGACATTCTGCGAGGAACTTCCTTAGCTCGGTCGGAGCGGCCATCGATGTCGACCCCAGGGAGCTTGATTATCTGGGTCGCTGGAAGGTAGGTGGCGAAGGTTCTGCAACCTACATTCGCACTTCTAGGCAGGTTGTGCATCGTCTCCAGAGTCACATTGCTTGTTCCCTTGTCACCGGACAGCCAAAGCACTACATCGAGGTGGATTCCATCAAGGCTTTGACGGATTATGCAGCTAAGGCGGGGGAGAGCGAATCTCAGGTTCGTCGCCGTCACACCCTCCTCGAGGGATCCAAAGGCTTGGGCGGGTCGTGGCCAACTCTGGCATTGGAAGTGGGTGTTGCGGCACCACCTTCTCCAGTCGAGCAGGTTTCGATGCCAGGCAGCCGGGGGGATTACTTCATCGTTACCTCTCGCACCACAGGCCTGAGGCGTCTGCACATGTTGGGCTGCTATGTCAAGCCTGAGAATTGTTATGATGTGAAATTTGTCAGTCATGTCGGCGCGGAGGACGTCGATAACATTTGCAAAGATTGCAAAGCAAGAATGAAGGCTCAGGCCGGAGAGGAGGAATCAGACCCCTCCAGCAGTGACAGTGGGAGCGAGTCGATGTGAAGGCAAAAGATGCTTTCGACTGCTGTGGATAGGCTGTGCCCTGCAAGTCCTAGCCAGAAGTTGGCATGAGTTGCTTATGCAAGGGCGCCTTGAAGTAGATCCACGATAACAGTCCATGCTGACTTTTCTCAGGGCATCTTGAAGTTGTTTCGCGATAACAGTTCATGCTGATGAAGTGCACGTGCTGGCGCTGTTCAAGCAGGAGGAAGTCTCACTCGGCGCAGGCCGTGAGGTGCCGGCGGATTCCGCATCCTGTCACAGGCCTCAGGGCGACGGGTGGACACATCGCAGTGCAGCTAAAGGCCTCAGGGCGGCTAGCAATCCAAGTCCTACAGGGCCACAGGCCGGGGCGCGGCCTTCGCATCAGGAGTAGCGGGAGTTAGTTATTGTTGTCGCAATGGCCGCCACAGATGCCGAGAAGCGCGAGCTCATAACCAAAGCAGATAGCGATTTGCAGTTTGTGCTCGGAGAAGCTGGCTTGTCTCTGGATGCCCAGTATCGCATTGTGCAACGACACACAACACTTAGGCGATTCCAGGCAATCGCCGATTCCCGGCCGGAAGCTCGGGCTGCTGGGAAGGCGGACTTTGGTCTTGATGATGGGGCTGCTGATGGGCGACAACAAATCGCGGGGGTCGTCGCTGCATGGGAACTTGCACGCGACGTAATCAGCAAAGAGACGGAAACACGAGCAGAGGCGAAAGTGTTAGGCCAGCCGCGAATCTTGCAAGTCACAGAGAGGCAAGCAATGCTCAAGGCGGTAGCGGCCGTTCACGGGCAGCTGGGAGAGTCGGAGACTCCATCGTCTGAGTACCTCGCTCTCAAGTGCGAGGAGTGCGAAGCCAATGAGCCTCAGGCTTCAACCTTGGATGCCATAACTTCGAAGAAGAACACGCTCACCACGAGCATCCAGTCCAGCCTTGACGCTTCGGGGCGAATTCATATTACTCAGCACAAATCCAAGAGCGAGCTCCCGACTACTACAGAAGCTTATCGCAAGGTCCTTCGCGTGGAAGCTTTCACGTGGCTATGCATGGCATCCCGCTTTAAATCCAAGCAATGGCTTCAGGATCTTAAGCTGTCTGACTTCGACCACTTCGTGAACTACATCCTTGGCGAAAAGGTCGCTCAGCTCTCAGTGCCTACGTCTCATCAGCCAGCCGATGTGCCTTCACTTTCGCCACCTTGGGAAGTAGTCTTGGCCTATGAGCACCGGTTGCGCAAGGAGGCTTTCCGTCTGGTCAATGATCAGGGTTATACTCTGGCAGGCGCTCTGGCTTCAGTCATTTCTTCAGCGGAGCTTAAGGAGACCTACTTCACGACGCCGCTCGCCTTGTCCATCATTGAGCGACCACGCAAGTGGCACAAAGGCAAGGGCAAGGGCAAGGATGGCAAGGACGGAGGCAAGACAGGCAAGGGCGGCAAGGGCAAAGACTCCAAGGGGGGCAAGAACGGCAAAAGCCCCTCGGACCCGGCGCTTAAGGGCCTTCAGTTGGTTTGGCGCACGCCGGAGGGCCGCGACATTTGCTTTGCATTCAACTCGCAGGGCTGCACCAATCCTTCATGCGAACGCTTGCATGTGTGCCGGGTCAAGGGCTGTTATCAGCCCCACTCAGCGACCGAGCATAAGCTTAAGACCAGCAAGCCCAAGGAGTGACTATCGCATGATTCGGTTTCTACCATTGAAACATCAGACCACATCGCCTACCAGCCTCAGCTGTACAGTCCGAGCGGGCTTCGTGTGCTCTACATTTTCGCGGGGCCCCATCGCAAAGGTGATGTGGGCTCTTACCTTCAGTCACTGGGCAATGTCACTAATCTTCTTCAGTTCGATCTTCAGCGCTCCACGGAGCATGACTTGACTAAGGAAGGCTTGTGGCAGCACATCTTTCAATTGCTTGGCGAAGGGGATTGGATCCTCATTGCCTCTCCTCCTTGTGAGACATTTTCCAGAGTCCGGCATCGCCACCCCGGGCCAAAGCCACTACGTTCAGCATTTTATCCTAGAGGTTTTCCATGGTTAAGCAATTTGCACGCGCAGCAGGTGGAGCAGGCTAATTATTTTCTTGATCAGACCGTGACGGCATGTCAACTTGCATGGCAGTATGTTCTGGAGCACCCGGAGGATCTCGGCGCAACGCCGGATCACGAGTTACCGGCTTCCATCTGGCAGCTACCAGCTCTGCGTGAGCTCCAGGTTTCCACTCAGGCCATCACTTTTGCTTTCTTTCAATGCAGCTTTGAGGCTCCCACTTCCAAACCCACACGCCTTCTCACTAATCTACGGGCCTTTGTCGAGCAGCCTCCGCCTTTTGCTTCCTGGCCACGCTTCGACTCCAGTGATCGCTACGTGGGGCCGTTGCCGCCACGCTGCCCGCACGGGAAACATGACAAAGTACTTGCAGGCCGGGAAGGCTCCCGCTGGGCGACCGAGTCATCAGCAGCCTATCCTCCTCTGTTGTGTGAGTGGCTTGCGCATGCTGTGCTTGCTTCCGCTTCGCAGGGGGGACTTGGGTCAGCGCCGCACAGCTCCGTTCCAGGTGAGGCAGGTCCAATGCAGGAATCCCACGAGGCGACGCAGGAGGTGCATCAGGATTTATGTGAAGTGCCGCAGGGGCTGCACCAGGTGGTTTCCGATAGGGTAGAGGCGGTTACTGATAGGGTAGAGGCGGTTGGCTTGATCGAGTCGGAAGCACCTCCTTCCACTTTGTTGCCGTCGCCAGACTCTTCGGGGCCAGACTCTTCGGGGCAACCGCAGCCGAAGGCAGCACCTAGGGGGGTTAAGAAACAAGTTGAAGCTGAGGAGTTCGCACGCATCATTTCTTCATCGAGAGCCCCGACTCGGGCCGAGGTCCATGCTCTCTTCAAACTGCTGCCGCATGAGACTCCGCCTAGGTCGGCGGTGTCCTCTAATTGGGTTCCTAGCAGCTTTTCGACAGGCTTGTACCGGAAGGGTGGAGGCCTGATCGGGCTCAGGTCCGCGTGCAAAGGCTTCCCGGCTTCCACAGAAGCTTTGGCATCCTTCGTGCGTAGCAACATGCCCGGGCACCCCTTTACCACGATTAGCCTTTACCTTAACACTGGCACCAAGCCCCACAAAGACTCCAGGAACGCACCTTTGCCCAATGGGATAATAGGGGTTACTGACTTCGTAGGAGGAGAGATCTGGGTCGAGGCCCAGGATGGGGAGTCTGTTCAGATTGTTGACGGTAAGCGCTTAAGTGGTCACCTTCTTCCGATCAGTGAGACACCCACCTACATACATGCCTACCGCGATCTTCACCTCACAATGCCCTGGAAAGGTAAGAGATTAGTCATCATAGCTTTCAGTGTATCGGAGCATACTCAGGCATGCGATGAGGATCTCGCGTTTCTTCGCGGGCATGGTTTCGTCCTTCCGGGCGAAGAGCACAGTGTTGATCTTGAGGCGGTCCAGTCAGATGATTCGGAGGTGCTGGAGGGGGGTGAGGTCGAAAGGCCGGAGCCCTTCAAGCATCAGGAGTGCCACAACATCGGGCTGCCTTTGAACCTCGAGTGGGATGGCAAAACTCAGCCGATCACGGATGGCTTTGGACTCTGCTCACCCACTAGATGGCCTCCGGAAGCCAGGGGGGGCCTGCTGCCCAAGCAGGCTTTGGAGTTCGCCACTGCCATGCATCAAGTGCTTCGAGACTTTGTAGCGGACGTTGTGCCTGATATCAAGCGCACGGCGATGGAGCTTGCGCTAGGCCGCCTTAAGGAATCGCCTTTCACTCCCGAGATGTTAGGGGTCCTTAGGAAGGATTGGTTTAGTTGCATAGAGGTTGCTTCGGGAGGCAAGTGTACGGATCTTGATGTGGTGCCGAGTGGCCAGCCATTCTTCTTGCATGCTGTGTCTGCGACGGCTCGGCTGTTGCAGGACCCAGATTGGAAAGCCGTTTCTTGCCAGGAGGACTCCTATGTCAGCGGGGTCGCGATCGGTTATGACTGCCCCGCGCCTCACTTGCCACAGGTGTACGAGTACAAACACAAGTCCCGCAAGCTCGATGAATCGGATGCCGAGTGGCATCGCGAGAACTATTCGTCGGCAAACGAAACATCGGATCAGCTTGAGAAGAAGTTTGCAGAGGAAGAGGCTCTTGGTCGCATGGCGCCTTCCACATTGCCGGTTCTTGAGCAAAAGTACGGGCGGGATAGGGTTAGGATAGCTTCTTTAGGTTCCTTGATTAAACCAGACGGTTCCGCTCGGCCATTACACGATGGCACCCACGGTGTGCATGTCAACAATGGTATTAGGCTACTTAATCAGCAATCCAATCCCGGACCCCAGGAGGTAGTTCACCTTGTGCGCAGCGCAAAGCAAAGTCAGGAGGCCACCTTCTGCCTCACCGGCGATGTGACGGCGGCTCACAGGTTGTTCCTTGTCAGAGAGGCCGACTGGTCTTTGTTGTGCTGTAAGGTGCGCAACGACACGCCGGTCGTTTGGTACAACAAAGTAGGAACGTTCGGTATATCATCATCCGCCTTCCTTTGGTCCAGATTGTTTGGGATCATCGGCCGCTGCACCGCGCGCTTTCTTTTGACATTGTGGTTCTATCACCTCGTCTTCGTAGATGATGTTCACGCCAACTTCGCAGGAAGGGAGAAATTTCATCATTTGCTCATGTGGCTAGCATGCTTCGAGATGTTTGGCACACCTTTCGCATACAAGAAGTTCCGCGGTGGGCTCACTTCGGCTTTTGTGGGTTACGAACTTTCTTATCCAGACCAGAGGGTCGGAATTTCCGAATCGCGGGGCCAGTGGCTCTTGAAATGGATCGCTGAGGCTCGGTCCTCGAAGTTTGTTGTTTCGGTTCGCAGGTTTGCTGAGTTCTTAGGGAGGCTGGGCTTCGTCGCTCGGCTTTTGGTTTGGCTTAAGGCACACCTTGCACCGCTTTACAGCTGGAGGGCAGCGGTGAACGACAGTTCAGTCGCTCGGATGCCCGACACCGTCATCCTTACACTTGAATATCTTGACCTCACGTTCAGGGACATGACGTTCAAGGTCGCCGCAGCAAGATCGGTCAAAAGAGAAGGCGTGGCCTTCCGCACTGATGCAAAGTGCGCGGACGGGTACGTGGTCCTTGGGGGTTGGGATTGCGCAGGCACAACTCAGGAGTCCAGATGGTTCTCACTTCGACTTACTCCCTCAGAGGCCCCTTACCTCTTCGACTCAGAAGGTCACAGTCAGTGGGCTTCGGCATCGGCTGAATTGCTGGCCACGCTGGCTGCACGCACATCTTCGGTCACCTTGAAGCCGGGCCAACTAGGCGTTTGATGAAGGTTGAGGTTCTAGCTCAGACGGATAATAAGTCTAACGAGGGCTTGACTCGCAAGGGTTCTACAACGCGCTGGCCCTTGCTCATGGTTAACATGCAGCTCACCCATGTTCTCATGAAGGCCGGCTTGCGGTTGAACTTGGGATGGCGTCCACGGGACGAAAATCAGGAGGCCGATGATTTAACCAACGAAATCTTCGACCGTTTCTCTGAGGAGTTGCGGGTCCCAGTGCAGTACTCCGAATTGCCGCTTTCCTTTCTTCACACTCTTTACGAAGCCAGGCGTTCACAGCTGAGCAGCCGTGAAGTGGATTCCATCCGCGACACGGTCGGTGGCAGGCCACGCTTCAGAGGCAAGAGAAAGAGAGAGAAGTCTCCTTGGTGACGTGCCGGCCTGCGGAAGGGGGGGCACAGGCACACAGGTGCGCCTTCCCGACACGTCAAAGACCTGTTCAAGAATTAGATGCCTGCGTGAGCCTGCCGCCATCCGTTTGAAAACATCCTGCGTGCTCCTTTCGGCAGTTGCTATCTCTTTAGATATTCATCATTAAGTGGCGAGGATACATTTGATTGGAGTCCCAAGAGGTGAAAGCAAGATATGAGAATTTATACCCCATATATTCTCTGGGGATACCGTCGGTGCATTTATACCTTCGCCGATATTTCCGTTTGCCCAATATATCTTCTGGGCAATAAAATTTCTGATGAGGGAACTGAGTTTTGTAAACTTCGCTCACAGCGCCCTTCCTAAACACAACGGTTGCGGAGAACAGGCCCTGCCGGGCTTGCCCGGCGGCGCTGTTTAGAGTAAACGTTTTGGGTGGGCGGGGCGGGGTGTCTCTGTGGGTAGGAGGAGTTCCCTCGACTGGACCAACTCGAAGATCTCCGCAGTTTCAAAGAGAAAAGTTTTATTGAGCAGTTTTGAGTTTCTATTTTATTTACGTATCGTGCGCTTTTCAGAATGGAGCCAGAATCTGAGTGCGCGCACAATCTCAATGCTTATCATGGACGCAGAGCTCAGGCTCAGGAGCAGGGAAAATTTTGATTCCCACCCTCCACTCCCTTGTAGATACTGTGGTCTCAAACCACGTGGGCTGGGGGGGCACAGGCACACAGGTGCGCCTTCCCGACACGTCAAAGACCTGTTCAAGAATTAGATGCCTGCGTGAGCCTGCCGCCATCCGTTTGAAAACATCCTGCGTGCTCCTTTCGGCAGTTGCTATCTCTTTAGATATTCATCATTAAGTGGCGAGGATACATTTGATTGGAGTCCCAAGAGGCGAAAGCAAGATATGAGAATTTATACCCCATATATTCTCCGGGGATACCGTCGGTGCATTTATACCTTCGCCGATATTTCCGTTTGCCCAATATATCTTCTGGGCAATAAAATTTCTGATGAGGGAACTGAGTTTTGTAAACTTCGCTCACAGCGCCCTTCCTAAACACAACGGTTGCGGAGAACAGCGGCATTTGTGCTCGTCGTATCTGTGTCATTTTTGGGGTCTGCTAGTTCATACTTCTCCAAAAAGTCCGTAATCTCCGCTAGCTTCCCTTCCATGGACTCTTTTCTGCTGGTCAGACTCTTGAGGTCTGACCCCAGAGCGACGACCATGTCGGGTAGCTTGCCAAGCTCCGACACGTGCTCCTCTTGCTTCTGTCTCAGCTCGGCTATCTCCAAGAGGATGTTCTTCATCTTGTCCCCTAACGAGGAAATTTCCGTCTCGGAGCTCTGAACCTTCTGCAAACATCCGTGCATAGTGTGAACGGCGGCCACCATGCGTTGGACCGCGGCCTCTGCACGTTCCTGGAAGTTCTCGGGCTCCAAATCCTTGGCTTCCTTTGGCGGATCCTTGCCAGCTTCATCTTTGGGCTTGCTTTCCTGCTGTGTTGGTTCTATTGGATCTTGTGGTTGTGCTGTGGCCGTATGCTTTTTGTCATTATTGCGGTCTGACCTCCCGTTGCCGCTGTCCTCCTCCATGAGACTGGCCCTGGCCTTCCTCCTCCTGGGCCTGATCTCTTCTTCGCTGCCGCTGTCCTCCTCCTGCTTGGCCCTTCTCTTGTTCTGCTGGTTCTGCTGTATGATGTACATGTAGCCAATGGCTACAATTGCCAAAGCGAGCAACACCTCCGTGAGCTCCACCATGATGCAAAGGGCTATGAAAAGTGTACTCCTTTGGGAAGCTTGAGATAGTTCTGCTGTCAGACGGGCGCACACTCACAGCATCACACAGCCATGGACTGCACATGCCGCACTGTTCCTGAAACTGTCATGTCCGTCTGAAGCACCGAGCTTAAAAGTGCCACTGCCCAGCCTCCAGTGAGCATGTTGGTGTGCTCGTCCGTCGCGCTTCTAGGTGAGGAGTACGTAGGCCTTTCGTGCTAGAGACATCACCGCCGAGCTCAAGACGTGCCACTTCCCAGCCTCCAGTCAGCATGTCCCCTTTATCATCCCAGTAGGTTCAAGGTGCAGGAGCGGGTACCTACCAGTCCTGCACCATGAACCTTCTGGGATGATGTAGCCACCGTCAAGGCCTTCTTGCACCTTAGTGCAGGTCGTGTCGCTTTCGACCTGCACCACACATCCGCAACAGCAAGAGCGACAATGTCGCTCTTGCTGTTGCGGATCTTCCATGTGGCAGTCGGTCCTGCTTGTAGGTCTCGAGGAATACGTTGACCTTTCGTGTCAGAGACATCACCACCCACCGTGTTTAAGAAGTGTCTGTCACTTAAGTGCAAGCACCGAACAGGCCGCCCAGCACAGGGGGGTTGGGGGGGGTGGGTGGGTTTCTCGGTGGGTGGTTGATGGATAGGTGGGGCGGTTAGGTGGCTGGGTGACGGTGGGTGGGTGTGAATCAGGGGTGCGGGAATTGGTTGGGGGACCGGTTCGTGGTGGGTGGTTTGGGGGGGGAGGCGGGGTTGTCATGCAGGAATGGTCCCTGATGCATGCGACTTTTTCCGATGCTGCTCTTGGCTTCATGACCCATCCAGTCAGAAGTCCTAAGTCTTTCTAGGAACTTCACACGGCCACCGGGCCCATGCCCCTGTGCCGCCGCATCAACCATGGAGTTCGTCGTGTTCTTGAAACTGTAAGCGGATTCAGAATCACTAGATGTCAGATTGTTTTGGTTAAGACTCGAATCCATGGGGATGTCACGATCAGAGCCATCAGCTACGTTATGAAATCCGTTATTCCGTCTCACTGCTTACTGCGATAATCCGTCCTGTCGGATCTGGGCGAGCGGGATCGCTTTCCTTCCCGATCGAAGTCAGAGTCGGACTCGTCACTACCTGGAACGTGCGAAGTTGGGGTCGCACAAGGTTGCGGTGATGAAACCAAGGCTCGGGCTGCGTGCGGGAGAGGTCGGGGTGAAAACGACCGTCGGGGACGTGGGATGCAAACTCTCCTGTCAGAGATGCGCATTTCACTGACTGAACAACTGACAAATGAACTGTCGGGCCAAGCCTTACTGTCCTTGAGCTTCTCTTCGTTGTCTTGCTGCGCCGAGCTCGCGGGTTCCTGCAAGCGGAGTCGTAGCCGGAGCCGCAGGACCTCATCCTCTTTCCTTGCCAGTGTCTGTCTCCAAAGCCCCGTTGCAGTGAGGACTTTCTCTTTGTACTTGACCTGTGCATCCTCGAGCCTCTTCAACCTGCTCTTGAACTTGTTTGTCATGTCCGTCTGGGCTTTGGAAACCTTCTCGTCGAACTTTTTCTTGTTCTCTTCTTTCTCTTTCGCCATCTGTGCCTGGTGCTCGGCGTTCATCTCTTTGATTTTGTTCTCATACATGGCAGTCAGTACCTTCATCTCCTTCTGGCTATCCTCGAACTTGTACCTGTACGTATCTTCCGTGATGGACAGCCTCTTAGCCCTTTCCTGGTTGTTTCTCTCATGCGTGTTCTCCAGTTCGTCCAGCATGTCCTCGCCTTTCTTCTTTACAGCTGCCAGTTCGGCCTCGTGCTTCTTATTGTCGTCCGCAATCTTCGTCTCGTACATTTTCTTCGTCCAAATCGCTTCCTTCTCAACCTCCCTCAAGCGATCGATTTCCATGCGGTCCTTGTTATGCGTCAAGATGGCGAGCTTGTTGATAGCCGAATCCTGCTTCTCCGTGAGCTCCACCTCATTCTTCCATTGGTTGTACATCTGTTGCAACCTTCTGTTGCAGAGGCGCCTGATACCGCTGAAGTCATTGGCTGAGTGCTGCTTGTTCTTCTCAGCTTTCTTCCACTCAACTTTCCATTCATCCGGAAGGGGTCGGAGTTCCTTTGTGAAGCCTTGCTTCGTTGGGTCCGTCTCTGTGTCGTCGTGGCTTCCTGCAGGGTTTTGGTGGCTTCCTGCAGGGTTTTGACTTCGACGCCAAGCCGCCCATTCCGCGTCGGTGTACACTTGCTCAGTCATGGCGCTAGTGGCGCCAAGAAAAAAACGGTGCGATTTCCTTGAATCTTGAGATGAAAAGCTGCTGCAGTCCAACATGTTGAGCTTGGAAGCAACCGACGGTGCAGCAGTCAAGTCTTGGTGTGGCTTAGGCCGGGGCTCTTCGAGGATCTCGATGCGCAGACTGTCTCAGCCTGGTTGGCCGGCGACAGACGGAAAGTGAGCAGAGAGATACTGAATCCATGCATGACTTTCCTGCCTCTTCCTTCCCTCACATCACTCCTTGCTGCCTGCTCATTCCTCGCATCTACAGTCACACCCTCATCTTGATCATTCCTTCTTCCTTCCCTGCTTCCTTCCCTGCTTCCTTCCTTCCTTCCTTGCTTCCTTCCTTGCTTCGTTAATTATTTTCGCTGTCTCTCTCTCTCTCTCTCTCTCTCTCTCTCTTTCTCTCTGCATCTGTCTTTGAGGATCCGGCTCACCCCTGCTCGGGGTTCATCCTCACCCTGTTCGGGGTTCATCCACACCCCTGCATGGGGTTCTCACGACCCCTGTTCAGGGTCCAGGCTCACCCTTTTCGGGGTTCATCGGACGCCCCTGTGCGGGGCTCTAACGACCCCTGTTCGGGGTCCAAGCTCACCCCTGTTCGGGGTTCATCCACACCCCTGCACGGGGTTCTCACGACCCCTGTACGGGGCTCCGACGACCCCTGTTCGGGGTCCAAGCTCACCCCTATTCGGGGTTCATCCCGCAGCCCCTTCAAGGGCTTGGTGCGGGTACGCCCCTGCACGGGGCTCCGAAGACCTCTGATGTGGCGACCTGACATCCTGACAGAGCCTGCGCGAATGCCTAATTACAACTACTTTTGCCTGCTACCTTTAAACTTCTTTCCTGATCAATGCCTCCTTACCTACATGCCCGCCTACCTAGCTATCTAGAGACCTGGAAGCCTGCCGGTGCACCTAGACCTACAAGTACCTCCCTCCTGCCTATCTACTTATCTATACCTACCTGCAGGAGTGGGTGGGCGGGTTTGGGGGTTGGGTGGGATTACAGTTTAGGGTCCAGGGTTTAGGGCATGAGCTGGACGTTACGAAAGCTTAGATTCCCTTCATGTTTAATCATGAACACACACACACTAATTTTCAAGTCGTTGTGAATCGTACAAAAAGCTGACTTTAGGGTTTCAGAACACAAAATCTCAAGCTTCTTGTTTTCGTTGAGCCACAAGAACACCAAGTTGCATTTGTTTGGTTTGCTCGGCACAAACGAATCTTCAAAATAACTTCAAAAATATCTTGCAACAAAGAAATTCCATGTGAACTACAAAACTTGGGACAGGCAATTATGTCAGTATGGCTTTGATTTTTCGATGTACATGTTTTCACATTTCGAACAAACCAAGTTTTTCAGGCATTGATTTTTCTATTGAGCCACAAGCACACATCTTTTTATACATGTCCAGCATCTCGCTCTTTCCATAGAGCCACAAGAACACACATGACGTAGGCCCAATGTTGCTGCAGTAGTTGCATTTGTTTTCCGTCCTGCCCCCCCCCTTCAGCACGACATCAGACATGTTGCTTTACGTGTCCTATATACACGTTTTCTGACATGTCCATCATGTCAGCAACAAGTGTCCTATATACACGTGTTCTTACATGTCCATCACACGTGTTCTTGCATGTCCATCATGTCAGCAACACATGTCCTATATACACGTGTTCTTACATGTCACTCATGTCAGCAACATAAATCCTAGGACCCGGTTCCATAACGGAAAGGACCCGGTTAGCCCCGGACAGGCATTCTAGCTGAGAGGGACTTTCAAACTCAGCAGGACTAACTACTGGCTGCAGGCCTGGTCCGCCTCCCGGAGTAAGATCAAAAGATACTCTGGGAGCGGCCGAGGGGTCGGCGGAGTGGGATCTTCTCATTGCCGGGACCAAAGCAGTGTTGCTCTTAGGTGCGCCTGACCCTTTCCCTGGCCCTGAGGCTGCCGGGCTGTTGCTACGCCCGGTTTCAGCTAAGTGCTTTCGGCACAAGGGGGTTCCCCTATGGGCACCATGAATCTTTGAAAAGCAAGAAACTACGCTACACTTTCTGCCCTGGCAAGAGAGGAGGTAGATCTGACTGTGGTGGTTGCATAACCGTGCCACATCTCGTCCGCCAACGTCGGAGAGCTCGACGTCCTGGTCCAGCAGACGGGTTCCTTCGGAAGCAGCTCGATCCTCACAACCTTCAGGTGCCAGAGCGCGAACCTTCCCTTGGAGTTCCAGACCAATCAAGATGGCTTCGCATGGGTCGGGGGTGACCTCCGCCTCAGACTCAGAATCCGGATCCAATGCTCGCAGAACTCCTTGCTCTTCAATCTGGCGAGGGGTTGATGTGGACCGCGATCTTCGGTTGGAGCAACCACGGCAGAAGCATCTTTGGCAGCACGCCTTTCTTTTAAGGCATCCTCGACCAAGGAGGACAAGGACTCGCCATCCAGAGAGGCGGGCATAGGCACCGAGGTCCACCAAGGCTTCAGCATCACAGGCTGAGAATTGTCCACAGTGAAGTCCGGGCTGCGTACATTCTGCGTTTCTGCAGAGATGGACCCAATCCGCTTTCTCCAGCTCCTCCCGGGTCTTCCTGGAGGTTACTCCGAGCACCTTGGAGGGCTTCACAAATAGACCGGAGCGGTCAAGCCGATTTCGCTGAGTCCAGTCCACCTGGATACGAGCTACACCAGAGTCCAACTTGAGGATGAGATCGTGAGGTTTCCTGCCATTTCCACGTCCTCGAACCTCCTTCTGGTAGTACTCCGTGTCGGCGGGCAGCGTCCCAAGAGGTCCATGCATTGTGATTGCTTGGTAACCAGAAACCACCCGAGCTGGTGGGAGATCGAGCCCCGAAGATTACCCGGAAACTCAACTCGCTTCCGAGAAAGGAGAAGAACCTTTGAGGTGGATCACCTTCCTCTGAGGTAGAGGGGCCGCTGTTCGGAGGAGCTCCCTCAGCTTCGGTGGAAGGGGACCCTGGGTGCTCAAGTGCCCCAGAGGAGTCCAGCCACTTGGGCAACCAGCTGTCCACAACCATCGCGATGACGAGGAGATAGCCGGCGGCCAAGCCAACAGCATTCGGTGCCATGGCGTCTTGTGGTAAAACCCAGTTGCAAAAGAACGAACTTGAGCCGAGCTTTAGCCAAGATCAAGTCGCTCAAGTCGCTCAACAGCTGAACTCTACGTTATCTCTAACAGTCAATACGCGCCGAAACCCCTCACATCCCTCACCATCCGCGTCGTATCCAGCTGCATTGTATACCCGCCCATGCCGCGTCGTATTCCCCGCCAGCCGCGTCGTATCCCGCCCTAGCTGCATCGTATCTCCGCCAGCGCCGCGCCATATTCCCCGCCAGCCGCGTCGTATCGCCCCCAAGCTGCGTCGTCTTCGCCCACGCCGGGTCGTACCCCCTTTATAACTGCGTCGTATCTGCGCCAGGCCGCATCGTATCCCGAGGCTTCGTCGTATCATGTCGTATCCGCTATTCCCCGCCAGCCGCGTCGTATCGGCCGCTGCAAGCTGCGGCCGCCTCGTATCCCGCCCAAGCTGCGTCCTATCCGCCCATGCCGCGTCGTATTCCCCGCCAGCCGCGTCGTATCGCCCTAATGCTGTTCTGTATATCTGCCGCCAGACGCGTCGCATCCCCCTTACATAGCTGCGCCGTATCTGCGCCAGGCCGCGTCGTATCGCCCCCATGTTGTGTCGTATCCCATGCCACGCTGCATTCCCCGCCAGCCGCGTCGTATGCACCCTATAACGGCGTCCTATCTGTGCACGTTTGAATTCGCTGCAGCACGCCACTGCACTGCTGCGCACATCGGAGGCTTGCACTGCGCCGAACGCACCACCCTCCGCAGTGGCGTATACTGGCTGGGCTGATCCTTGCTGCCCTGCTCTGCTAGGTGCCTCAATGAGCTCACCGCAGGCAGGTCCCAGCTTCGGTTGCCGCCGAATGCCGCCGACTTGCGTGTTGCGGAGGAGGTCGGCCGCACATGTAATTGACAGCCTAGATGGGGAGGACGTTTGGCGTTGCGTGAGCTACACGAATACTGACGCCCCGCACAGTGCGACTTGAAAGCCTGGCAAGCGGCGCCACAGGGCGGCAGCACCATGGTTCCCGCATGCATTTGCTTTACCTGCCCCCGCCAGACCGATGACCTTTTTTGTTCTTGCTAGTTCCAACCACTCCCCAATGGTGTGTGGACACAGCTGATCGCCGCCGCCGCGTGCGGGGCGATTCCGCTCGGAGAAGCGTCGTGTCGCTGAGGGGCGCAAGCGAGCTCAGCGAACATGTCTTTTCAGAGGGGGTTCGTTTCACTTCCGAGGCCGCCCCAAACAAGTGTGGACCCCGGGACGATTGAGGTAGCTGTATGGGTGGCCCAGACCTTGCCCATGTGTCACAGTACATGTGCTGCTTGAAGGAACAGGTCCATACGACGTTTGCAGCCATGTGTTCGACAGCGCATGTTTCGCGGAGATGCGGCAGGATATGCCCGCATGCTCCCCACTGCCAGCACGCGGGTTTCCAGCAAGCGAGCTGTAACAATTGTTGCCACACCGGCCTGGCACGACATGTTCCACGGAGCAGAGCCGCGTTCGCGCGACCAGAACGAGAACTGGGTGCTCCGCTGCGGTGCTCCGCGCACAAGCAAGACCGTTCGCGGCCCGTGCTTGCCCTGCTTGGGTCACCTTGCATGAACTCATCCCGGGCACCGGGATCATCGCCGTTCCGAGGCCGCGCCGAAGGACCGCGCGACTGCAAATGCCAGCGTCCAGGAGCGCAGACCAGCACCACCGAAACGCGGCAGCACGCCATTCCATGCCGCGCGATGTGCAGGTAGAGCAGCATGAGCCCCGCTTTGGGCAACCTTTCTGCCAAACTCAGCGGCTTGGGGACTCTAACGCCCACCAGCCTCAATGCCAAACACGACAAACCGACAGCGGCACCCGAAAGCAAGCGCTGGGTATGTCCGGGCCTTGGATTGCCTTGGCACCTTCGACGGTGCAGTGCGGCCAACGTTTCGGCGTGGCGTGCCAGCTGCGGTAGTGGAGCGGACTTGTCCATCGTAGGGGGACAAGGGCGACGGAATGCCTGTAAATAAAGAGCATCGTGCTGACAGGGCTGTCCACCTTGCTCGCCTGGGCGAGCTCTCTGCCGCTCGTCGCGCTCTCCTCAGCGAGCCTTTTGCCCGGGGCGACCAAGCCAAGCGACCCTCCAGCAACTGTGTGACCCTGACAGCCGCCCGAGCCAGCGTTACGCACCGCTTGACCCAGATCTGTTGTCCTGGCTCCCTGACGCGCCTGTCGCGCTGCCTGCGCCTGCCTTGCTTGCCAACCTGCGCCGCTCGCGCCGAGGCGCTGCACCCGGCCCCAGTGGACTCACAGCCGACATCGCAAGATTGCTCCTCGACGATGCTGACTCTTCAGAGGCTTTCAGCGGGCTCGCGCTGCTGCTCGCAAGAGCCCGCCTCCCCACCTCCATGGCCTTGGCCGCCTCGTTGCATTGCGCAAGCCAGCCGGTGGAGTCCGTGGGCTGGTTGTCGGAGACTTCCTCCGCCGTTTGGTTGCCCGCACACTTGCCCAGCAGTTCAGCCGACACATTGATGAAACAACCCGCCCCCACCAGTTCGCCTTGTCCACACGTGCTGGGGCTGAGGCTCTCGCCCACTCCCTTCAACTCAAGACCGATTCGGTTCCCAGCTGCACTGTCCTTTCTGTCGACGGCATTGGTGCATTCGACTTCGTGAGCCGCCGAGCCATCCTGACCGAGCTCCAGCACACACCCGATGCCTCTGCCATGCTTCCCTTCGTCCGCCTGTTTTACGGCGCTCCGTCTTCATTTGTTTGGACTGACGATGAAGGCGTCACCCACCTCGTGCCCCAGGCCGAGGGTGGCGAGCAGGGCGATCCGCTTATGCCAGCGCTGTTCGCCCTTGGACTTGCACCGGCGCTCCGCTCCTTCCAAGAGGAGCTCCTCCCCGGCGAGTGTGCGGGCCTTTCTTGACGACATCTATGCCACCAGCTCGCCCGCACGCACTGCTACAGTGCTGTCGCGCCTCGAGGACCACCTGTTCACGTCCTTGCACATCCGGCTCCATGCCGGCAAAACCCGTGTTTGGAATTCTGCTGGTGTACGCCCGCCCCATCTCCCGCCTCCTCCCGACGGGTGCACCAAGTGGGTTGGTGACCCAGCCCTTCCCCCGCAAGACCGTGGTTTGCGTGTCCTCAGCAGCCCCCTTGGAACGGACGAGTACGTCGCTGCGCAGCTCCAACACCTTTCAGTGCAGCACCGTGCTCTCCTCCAGCTGCTCCCTGGCATCCATGACCTGCAGGTCTCGTGGCTACTGCTGTTGTTCTGTGCGTCACCTCGCGTGCACTACTGCCTTCGCCTGCTCCCAGCTGCACTCGCGGCTGTGTTTGCCGCGGCACATGACCACAACATCCTGAGCTGCCTAGCCCAGCTGCTCCACGTTTCTCCCGGCGAAGCCCACGGCGCCGACCCCCTTCCCCAATCCGCAGCCGCGCGTGCAAACTTGTGTTTGCGCCATGGTGGCCTTGGACTACGCAGTGCCGCTGAGCACACGCCTGCGGCATACTTTGCATCCTGGGCTGACTCGCTCGGGGCCTGCCACGCCATTGCTCGCTTGCTTGATGACGCAGCGTCTGCCCCCTCACTCCCCCGCTGTTTGAGCTCCCTTGCCGGTGCGGTCCGCCTTCTCCGCGACAATGGCTTCCACCCGCCTGGATTCGGCGACCTGCCCCTGCATCCCCCCGTTGCTCCCGCAGACCCCGACGAGCCTGTCGACACCACTCGAGGGTGGCAGCGGCCGGCCTCCCGTGCTCTCGACGAAAGCTTCGCTGGCCGCTTCCGCACAATGCTTGACCCTCCTTCCCTCGCCCTGCTCGAGTCCCAGTCGGGGCTTTTTGCTTCGAGGATCTTCGAGGGTTTTTACTGCCTTGCCTTCCAGCCGGGAGCTCACTTTCGACTCGCCTGTTTTCCGTGCTTTGCTGCTCCGCCGGCTCCGCTTGCCTTTGCCGCTGGACGCTGCAGCCTGTCGCTGCCGTCGCCCCGTTGCCTCTCGGTGACCACCGCGCTGCTTGCCCCCGCTCCGGCATCCTGCGGTCCCGCGGCCTCCCGCTCGAGCGAGCTGCTGCCCGTGTTTGCCGCGAGGCCGGGGCTACAGTTGCCAGCCATGTCCTCGTGCGGGACCTCAACATCCACCCTGAGCGCCTCGATGACCGCCGCATCGAAGTCATCGCAAATGGACTCCCGCTTTGGGGCGGAGCACAGCTTGCTGTCGACACCACCCTTGTGTCGCCTCTCGATGCCAGTGGAGCTGCGCGCCGGCATCAGCGACAGTACCGTGGCGCCGCCCTGCGCTTTGCCCGCAGGTCCAAGGAACGCACCTACCCCGAGCTACTGCGCTCGCAAAGGTGCAGGCTCGTTGTCCTTGCACTCGAGGTCGGAGGCCGCTGGAGCTGAGAGGCTGCTCCGCCTCGCTCGCTGCCGGGCCCGAGCCGTCCCTCGCCCGCTGCGACCTGCAACCATTGCAGCCTTCACCTCCCGATGGTCTGCGCTGCTTGCCTGTTCTGCCGCCAGAGCCTTCGGTGCCAGTCTGCTTGGTCTTTCCGTTGCCGGCACTGCCAATGTCGACGGCGACCAGCCGCTGCTCAGCGAGGTTCTTTCTTCGACTCGCTTCGACGAGACCCCGCCCCTTGCCAGCCGTCTGCCGCCGCGCCCTTGACAGCGCCTTGCCGTGCCTGCAAGCCTGGACTTGACTCCGTAGGACGTCGCCTTGGGTTTGGGCCTGCTGCACTGGGACCGCGTCGCGGATTGTCGCAAAAAGTGCGCTAAAAAAACAAAATAAAGACTTCTTGCTTGTGCAACGGTTGCACTCGCATGTCGTGTGTGCTCGTCAGTGTTTTTCTTGCGTGCCCTTGGCTTGCGTGTTCACTCGTGTCCTCACAAGTTGCTGCTTGTGCAGGCTCTTTGAGTTTCTGCATGTGTGTTTGGTGCCGGCTGTGGCCACTGCACTGTGTTTGATCGTGCCCCGCCCGCTGCAACCCTACGGCACGATAGGTCGGGGTAGGGTAAGTCTCGTGCACCCATGCTGGATTGTGGTACATGCTATTCCAGAGACTCCTCGAGCACTGGCATGTCTGCCGTGCTGCGCTACGGAGTGTCGTGCTACCCATTCGCGAGAAGATGTGTGTGTCCGGTGTGTTGGTTCTTTTTTTTTCGAGCACTGTCCCGTGGAGAGGACTTGTCCATCGTAGGGGGACAAGGGCGACGGAATGCGTGTATAAAAAGATTTCTTGCTTGTGCAAGGGTTGCACCCGCATGTCGTGTGTGCTCGTCAGTGTTCTTCTTGCGCGCCCTTGGCTTGCGTGCTCACACGTGTCCTGGCAAGTTGCTGCTTCTGCAGGCTCTTTGAGTTTCTGCATGTGTGTTTGCTGCCAGCTGTGGCCACTGCAGTGTGTTTCATCGTGCCCCGCCCGCTGCAACACTGCTGCAACCCTACGGCACGATAGGTCGGGGTAGGGTAAGTCTCGTGCACCCATGCTGTGTTGTGGCACTTGCAAAACCAAAAACTCTTCGTGCTCTGGCATGTCCGCCGTGTTGCGCCAAGGAGTGTCGTGCTACCCACTCGCGAAAAAAATGTGCGTCCGTGTTTGGGACATTTGGGACCACATGGAGATTCAGATAATGTCAGATCGCAGTCAAGGACATGTAGCTCGGCATACTGAGGCAACCGCTCGCTCGTGATCTGTACCCATGAGACTCTAGGCTGTTATATGAAGAAACAATTAATGACAGCTTGAATTGCGGACTTGTACTTGTCGCTGGCAGCTGCGCGCCCTCGCAAAAGGCGTAGCCTCCAACCCGTTGCACCCAAAACAGCGCAGCAGCAGCAGCCGTGGCCTCAAGACACGCACATCGAGCTGCAGCGTCTGGCTTGGGTTGATGCCTGACCACTAGTAGCTACTGGGAATGCATCAGTGCATGCAGCAGTGCATCCGTGCATGCCGAAGCCACCAGCAACGCACAGCAGCACCCGCTGGCGCCCACACTGCTTGGCGGCACTTTGTGCACGCCGGCACAGCCGGGTAGCGATGGGCATGATCCAAGTTGTCGAGGAATAGCAGGGCTCACGTTAGTTTGTTTGTTGTTGTTGTTGTTGCTGCTGCTGCTGCTGCTGCTGGTGCTGATGATGGGGCGCTACATGGTGTGGCCACGACGACGCCGTCTGGAGATGCTTGCTCGCGATGCTAAGTGAAAACGACAACGCAGACTTTGAATCCACCGCAGCACGCCGAATTGCACTGCTGTTTGCACACATCGGAGGCTTGCATTGCGTTCGGCATTGAGGTCGTCGCAAACGGCCTGCCCTTCTGGCACAGGGCACAGCTCGCGCTTGACGCCACGCTCGTGAGTCCTGTCACGCGGAACGGCGAGCCGCAGTCGGGTGCCGCCACACGCACTGGCGCGGCCGTCCAGGCCGCCGCTCGCCGTAAGCGGCGCCAAACGTACCCCGAGCTCGAGAGCGCGCAACATGCGCGACTCGTCGTCATCGGCGTTGAAGTTGGCGGGCGCTTCGGTGCTGAAGCTGCCGCCTTCCTCCGCCACCTTGCCCGCACCGTGCGGCCAGCATTCCCCCACTCCTCCGAGCCGCTGCCTGCGCAGGCTGGGTTCATGCTGGTCAGGTTTCTCTGTGGTCGCCGCCATGCGCGCCTTTGCGGCGTCCCTCCTTGAGCTACCGCCTGGAGGTGACCTTTGTCGAGCGGCGCCCGACCTCCACGAAGTCCTCGCCGAGGTCCGAGGCGGCCCGCCGCTCGTCGCTAGCCTGCCGGCGCCCTGTGCCTAGCCAGCCCGTAGACCGCAGCTTTCACGTGCACTGAGAAGGCGAGTGCCCAGCGAGTACCGTTCGAAACGAGGCGTGTGAAAACAAAAAAACGCACCACCCCCGCAGTGCCGTATACTGGCCGCTTGGGCTGATGCCTGCTGCCCTGCTCTGCCAGGTGCTTCATTGAGCTTACCGGGGGCTTGGGTTGCCGCCGAATGCCGCCGACTTGCGTGTTGCGGAGGAGGTCGGCCGCACATTTAATTTAATTGACAGCCTAAATGGGGAGGACGTTTGGCGTTGCGTGAGCTACACGAATACTGACGCCCCGCACAGTGCGACTTGAAAACCTTGGAAGCGGCGCCACAGGGCGGCACCACCATGGTTCCCGCATGTTCCCGCGTTTGCTTTACTTGCCCCCGCCAGACCGATGACTTTTGGTTTTTGTCGGCTCACCTGTGACTGGCGAACGCTCTGCAGCGCGACCCTTGTACTTGTGCCAACCATTCCCCAAGCAAGACACACATCTGATCGCCGCCGCCGCGTGCGGGGCGATTCCGCTCGGAGAAGCGTCGTGTCGTTGAGGGGCGCAAGCAAGCTCAGCGAACATGTCTTTTCAGAGGGGGTTCGTTTCACTTCGAGGCCGCCCCAAACAAGTGTGGACCCCGAGACGTTTGAGTTAGCTGTATGGGTGGCCCAGACCTTGCCCATGTGTCACAGTACATGTGCTGCTTGAAGGAACAGGTCCATGCGACGTTTGCAGCCACGTGTTCGACAGCGCATGTTTCGCGGAGATGCGGCAAGATGTGCTAGTTGGGGATATTTGCACGAGATATCATTGCATTGTCGTGGTCGCATGCGGGTAAGCACTGCCAATTGGTTTTCCCAGGCCGGAGCTGGAATTCCTACTCGTATCCGCTGTGCACTTCCGCAGGGTTTCATTGCTTCAAATTCTATGCAATTTTGTTTTGTCCGGCAAGATTCAGTAACAGATAGGCAGCGAGGTAGCAGAACCATTTCACGATCGAGGGCAAACCGTGCCGAAGAGTCGTTACACGCAAGACCAGCACCACTGCATACTTTACTAAGCATTTGTTCCTTCGGCGGGCACTTCTGCGATGGCTACATGCTCGAGCAATTGGAGCTGATTCGGCGATCGTTGTTGCCGCCACCGGTGGGAGAATGGGTAACGGAACTTCAACGTCAGTTGGCGACAAGGTGCATCATGTGCCATGCCACATTGACTTGTGCAGGTCCGCCGTGTGCCACCAACAGAAGCATCATTGAATCATTGGCCATTGGCATTACCGGTTACTTGGAAGGGCAGGGGACGTAGTAAGTAGGTTATAAGTAGAGTTATAAGTACCCTAAACGGAGTTACCCCAATTATCCCTGCTTATACCTACTTACTAAGTTCCCTGCCCTTCCAAGTAGTCCTGGTGATCTCCATTTGCGACGTCCCATGCAGAGACAAATTGCTTCGAGATTGTTTGCCACGAGCTCCGGGTAGGCGGTTTCGAGCAGCATGCGCTGCCGATCGGAATCCCAGGATTGGCGGCTGTCTCGGATATTGTGCCTTCACACGTCGATGTTTTAATTCCACGCCAGGTCCCACGATGTTTTCGCAATGTGAAGTGTCCGTACACGCCGGTGCGGCCAGCAGTGCACCTGCGAAGCGGTCGCTGCTTATCGAAATGGTGTCCGAGGCATCCACCGCTAACGGTGCATATGGCGTCGTGAACTATTCATTGATGGGCCCACAAGATGGACAGGCTCATTCATTCCTACTATTGCTGTTTTGCTCAACATTGCATCCTGTCTGTGCTTGCCAGGTTGTGGTATGTTTCCATGGCCTCAACGGATCCCGGTTACTTTTCCAGGACTAAAGAATGCGATGGTTTGCATGCTGTGGAATTCTTTCTCGAGCGACCATCCTTTTCAGGACACGGCTTTGTACCTGTCGCGATATGGTGGTTTTCGTGTCCTTACCTTCGCGACTTTACTGTAAAGCAAGCAGTCCTTGCTTTTGTGTGACGAACCATTCCACATGTGGTGAAGCACACGAGGATTTGTACGGACACGGTTTGAGCAATGCTCCACCGGTAGACGCTTGGCGCATCCTGCTTGTGTACTAGCGGTATGGTGGTTTATCGCACGATCTAAGGACTTGTGCCCTGGGCGATCCTGTTCTTCCGCTTGCAGACCGGGTTGCTTCTCTTGCAGTGGCACCAGAGCCAGGCAACTTCTGCAACCGCGGTCCTCACACTTGAAAAGCCGATTGCATTGGACTGCGGCGCATCGTGTTTGTTCATTTCCTTCTACGAGTATCTGCCAGTATCCAATGTTCAGCTCTCAGTATCCAGTACGGCGGCCGGCGTACAAAATAAAAAATATTCGGTATGCATCACTCAGTACCCAATGATCCGTACTCAAACGAAGCGAGAACCAAGTTCTAATTAAATAGAATGGACTGAGCATTGAGTACGGCACTGTCGAGTGTAACGCAGTACTAGTACTGTTGCTGCTTGCTATTGTTACTGCTACTGCTGCTGGTACTGCTACTGCTACTCTGCTACTGCTACTGCTCCTGCCACTGCTGGGACGGCGGCTGCGATTACGATTGCGATTGCTACCCCGACGACGGCGACTAATACTGCTGCGAGGGCGATTACGACGACTACTCCACTCGACTAGTGACTGTGGCTAGTGACTAGTTAGCATCAGACCATCGGCCCTCAAACAATGGATCTTCCCAAACCAGGGCCACAACTTTGAACAAATCATCAATTTTTCCAGACATTTTTTTCGCCGATCGAGCACAGTCGACGAAAACCGCGGTACACAGGGCAGAGCGGGGGTGTCCAACCGTTGATTGTGGAGTTGTCAGGTTTGGAGCCAGAGCAACCAGCTCCGGCAGCACGGTTTGCTTTGAGAGGCTTCCGGTCCGCACGAAATACTCTTCTCTGGTGGTCTAGTGTTTAGTTTTTCGTAAAGATTTCCACATGCCTCCTTGTCCCCGCGACCAGCAGCAACTTCCTGGTGTCAGCCGGCAACTCATAACTCACTGAGCGCTTGTGCAGTCTCGGTTGCGTGTCCTTTCTCTGAACAGGTTAGCCATAGTCACCCCGCAGCCGTGGCAGAGCGAGAGGGGAAATCATAACCCGATTTCGCTAGTGTTGTAAAATTACGGCGGCCACCGATGACATGAGTTCTTTTTCCCAAGAGGAGCAAATCACACCATACAAAACGCCTTAGGATGTCAGTTGCTTCAATGCCCTGCGCTGTCACATTGACGTCAGATGGATTCAACTCCATGGCGTTGTGCGGTCATCGCTTTCACTTTCTTCATGTCCGCACGCCGCGTTGACCAGTATGCGATACGATTGTGTTGGTAGTCCCAATCGTTGATCGGGGCTGTTGACATCGATCAAATGTATAAAAATCATACAATGTACGGTGTTGCTTTCAAGTTGGCAATGACAGGTTTTCCTGAGTATGCCGGGCTGGTAGCACTGCAGGAACATCCCAAAGTGGTGGAAGACTTGTAAACTTGTAAACAGAGACAGCCTTTTGGCTGTACCTGTGTAGGTGGCGTGTAAGACTCAGTGCAGAGGTGAAGCAGGCGAGAAGGGGAGCAATTCACAAAATCCGAAGTCTGGTGTTTCGAGGTCAGCCAGACGCAAAAAAGATTGCGATCCTATTCGGCTGTGAAGGTCGTGCGGGTGCCAATTCCGCGGTTCGTTCCAGGCACTTGACGATGCGCACAAGTGGCGTTTTGTCATCCAAATTCGTCACGTCCCACCTGTCGACAACTGCTAGTTCATCACTAACGAGCAAAGAGTGCGGAGTTGTCGGGGGCACAGAAGCTGAACTAGAGTCCACCTCATCTAGCACGTCGCTCTGACAGAAATTCCACCTTGAGTGGTCCGGCAGTGCCGGCCAGATGTTTTCATGCCCCTTCAAGTTGCTCACAGCATGAATGCAATGAATGCCATCAGGGGCGTCAAGTGTTCGAGTCGTGCACAGCTGATAACTGCAACAACCAGCAGGTGAGTGTTCAGTTGAACATCTTGGCTCCGCAAATGCCGCAAGGGCCGCGGGTGCACAATGCCAGGTATGATCTCGAATTCTTTGTTGAACAAACGGTTGAGCTGCTCGAGAACATTGGTCACAGCCTTACTTCCTCGCGATGTGGCGCATGCGATGTGGCGTGCGTTGCGCGCATGCGTAGATGAGATGAGGCTTGGGATCTGTTCGAGTGAACCTGCTGGGATTCAGCCTAGGAGGCCACGGCTCTCAGCTTTGACAACGGCTGTTGCTGCAGTGACAACGGAGGTGCCATAGCGATGGCATTTGCCAGATGCCACCCTGCACGAGCGCCGTTCCAAGGGCTACTGAGCTGTTTCCATGCCAGTGCTGACCGATGTTTGTGCAACAGGTTGCTCGCATTGTTGCCATTTCCCCGTCGGGGTTTATACCGCGAGTACCGCGATTGTACCACGTCCTGCGCGTACGATGCCTAGCTCAAAAGCTCGGAAAATGCTTCTTCTGTACTCGGTGCGCCGTGGTGCCCAGGCATGCTGGTGTTGTTTAATTCCACTGGCACCGCATTGCCTCTGTACCTGCTGGTACCAGAAGGAGCGCTTCGCAAGGCGTGCCAGAACCACGAAAGACCGGAAAGCGAGCAGCACATTTGTGATTCTGGAGGTCTGTTCGTTCCGAAAACCAGGCAGTGGCTTCTTGAGTGCACGATGGGCTTGGGCTGAACGTGCATTTTGTCCAGGGCATGGCAGATGCATCAGTTCACAACCTCTGGTCTCGTTTTGCAGGGCCCCCATCAAGACAATACTCGATGGGCATGCCCTGGATGATGATCCGCAGTCCCTGGACGCTCCTTCGATGAAAGGTTTGGCAGCTCTTCGTTAAACGAGGAGTAGCAAGTGCCACATTGGCCACGTGTCAGCGCGCACGGCCCCTACTTGTAGACGTTCAAGATCTTGACGCAAAGTCGGGCATGTTCTTTCAGGTCAATTGGTTTGATCTCTCCGCACTTTTTCGGGATGTTGGCAGGCAGTGGTATTGAGGACGCTTCATCCACCGTGTTGCTGAAACTCAGCGAGGCATTCCCGGCCCGTCCTGCTCGTCTGGGGTGAGCGGGACACTTTGAACCCGCCCTCAACCATTGGCAAAAAGGCTGGACCACGTGAGCAAGTGTGCTAAGTCTGCAAAGTATCGACCATGACTGATCTTGCTATGTCAGGTCGCTGCATTCTTCGCAAATGCGAAGTTATTGGTCATTCCTCGTGCTGGTCACATAGCAATATGCGATAAACCAGCAGAGGCCATGCAGCAGGGCATGCGGAACTAGAGGGCTTGCGAAACCGAAATGGGGTGTCTGTTGCACGGCCGACGCTTGCAACTCAAAATGGGAACCAGTGCCCAGTACTCACCAGCTAGAACCGTAGACCCACTAGAATGTGCAATGCTTCCGTGACTCAGTGCTATTTCAGTCTGGACATTCTGGACATGACTTGAAATTTCCCTGCTTCGTTTTCCTGGGCTTTGATCGAACTTCTACCCAAGGAACAACAGCAAGATAGTCGCAGAGAAAACATGCCTCAACCCATCTGGCATGCAGTTAATAATATTGAGGCGGTGTTCCAGTTCTTGGGAGTGGCCTTATTTCAAGATGTTGTGCACGTGTGCCGCATTGGGCGGTTCTGCCGACCGGCTTTGTGTCACACCCAACTCCGGCGGAGTTTCGATTCAAGGAACCTGAATTTGTTTTTGCTCAGCCACCGCCACGGCATAAATCTTGTTTCCATTGGCAGCATCCGAGTATCCAGGCCAGACGAATTCAACATGGCCCAATCGACTGCCCAAAGATGTCTTAACACGAGTTCAGTTTGCGTCAAAGATTTCGGAGGTTGTCCCGACGATACTTGGGTTCCTGCAGTTGCCAGAAGACATGCGTTCAGCACTCAGTCAACTGATGCCGCGAGCACTCTGGGTGAATGTGTGTGCGTGTGTTGGTGTGTGAAAATATGTTTGTCAGCTGCCGCACGTGCACGTTTTGCAGACTTGTCCATTCACTTTCTGTCACGGTTTTTCCTTCGGCAGATGTTCGGGGCAGCACATCCTTAGCAATGCCAGCCCAACAAAGATATAGCCCGCTACCACCAGGCTCGTTGCTGATAGGTGGACGGATGTCAGTACATTTCCAACCGGCGCTCTAAAGGCAGAGACCCAATACTGGCGACCGACAGGAAGAGGTGAAGCACTTCCATAGCCCGCTTCAGCTGAAGCCTATGCTTTCACAGCTATCCTTTCCCTGCTGGAAAAGTCTTGCCTGGTTTGGGCGAGTCAAGGAGTCTGGTGAAGCCGATGTTCAATGAAAGCTGTGAAATCACGGCATCTGCCTATGCTGCGATAGACTGGATGCCGGCTGGAATTCTGAAGAGTGGTCGCTGGGATGCGACACAACGAGTGGACTGCTGAACCTCTACGACAACGCGGACATACTGATCCTGTGTGCGCACCAGGTCACACAACTCAGCTAGTGATGACTGGAGGCGCGAACACTTTCAAGTCCGCCTCCTGAATAAGCCTCGCAGTGAGCCTCGCAGAGAATCAACCCGGAGGCTTACTTGTTTTCTGGTGCGTACTCGTGTGTACTTTGCCCTTCTTGATGCAAGACTTGCTTCGTCTGAGCCGCCGAGCTTTGGGATGCAACCTAATTAGTAATCGCTACTCAGGTCTGCGTTTTAATTAGGCCGCCAGGGCCAGTGTGCAAACTTTGCATTTGTACATTGATTTCTCTAGAGTTCCTTCAGTCCCCCTCGAGATGCTGTGAGTTGCACTGGGTATGTACGGGGTCGTTGGGGCTAGCTGTAACTCACTTTCTCGAGAGGCACTAGGTCTCGAAGGTCCGGCGTTGGTATGTTCCCCTTCTTCTTACGTGTGCTACTTGGTCCTGGGCTTGTCGACTGGGGGGACATACTGATCCTGGGATCTTCCATCACTACGAGTAGTCAGTTCGGACGAGTTCCCTGCGGTGCGACATTGTTCAGCTGGGCGGGTGGCAAAAAAAGTGAACATGCGCTTTGCTGCTGCTGCTGCTGCAGACTGGACGCTATCCGCAGAAAAGTCTCGGCCTTCTCTTGTTGCTGAAACGAACCTTTGCAGGCGGTGATCGAGCGCTTGAGTTTTTGCGCTGCTGACAGGGGTATTTCTGCAGGCACTTTTTCTGCCAGTGTCTGCACTCGGTGTACTTTGGCAGTCAGCATGCATTGCCCGAGAGCCCTTCATGTCATTCAGACAGTTGTTGTTTCAGTGTGTCTCAGCGCATGAGGGGAAATCAAAATTGAATGTCAAAATTCTACATCTTGAGAAAAGCGCTGCTTGATGTGCTGTGAGGGTTGTGTTTTGCATGGAGCTTTCGTTCGAGCATTGGGTGAAATATGACCCCCCAAATTTTTCGCCCGCATGTGTCAGCAGTCATCAGGATCCAAAGTTTCTCGGCTTTGACCAGATGTATAATAAGTTAACTCTTTGCCACACTTCCAGTAGAAAGATTCAAGCGGAGTAATTGCCCTTTATGATCCGCCTGACCATGCCGAGTTTGTATTCTGTGCTTTGCGAGTTTCACATGACAGTCGACATGTCTGATGACATCGCAGTTGTCCAAGCCTTTCCACGTCGGTTCTGCCTGTTCTGCAAGCTTGTGCCCAGACAGTTTGCTGTACCCGTGTGTTTTGAGTTTGCCGTTTGCAGCTTCCGACATCAAGTTAATGAGCCGTTGCAAAGAGCGCCGGTGGGCAGTCCCTTTGCCTTTGTTTTGTGCATTTTTGTGCCATATGATGATCGACATCCTTGAGCATCGCTTCTGTGGGACATGGCATGCTTGTTGAAAAGTGCTCGCTTTTCAGTTTCTTTGTCACGTGGACAGCAAAATCGTGCATTAGTCCCATCATTCACCAAACCCCCAGACCGCCATTGGTTCTAAGGCTCGTCTGACATCTGCCTACTGATCAGTGGTTGTTAGGCGGTCCCGCCCGTCAGAGACAACCACCCCGCCGGTTTCGCCCATTCACCAAATTCAGACGAAGCTCCCAGGAAGCAGCACCGTCTTGATTGTGTTTTGCTCGCGATGCACCATGAAACAGGTCATCGATCCATGATACCGATGCAACCGCGAAGGATGTCGGGGATACCCCCACCCCCACGGAACCTGAGGTTCCCTAATTGAATTATGAGTGACGAGTCTGAGACGAAGCTGGAGGTCCAGGCAGAGGTGCCGACCAAGGAGCTCCAGTTTCACAAAAGCACGCGGTAATTCGTGCCATGCGAATCCATGCGACTGTATTCGGAATGGGAGAATGCCCAATTGAGCAGCGGGAAGGCTATGTTGACGGATGTTTGGACGAGCCGAGCCCATCAAGTACTGTACCCCACAGTGAATTGCCAGCAGGACTCGTCAGACTGTACGAAGAGATCTTGGGTGAGGACGAAGAAAGGAATTGCAGTTGCTGCAGTCATATCCCGACAAAGGGGAAGATGTTTTCTCTGACGTCCAGGTCCTGAAAGAGGAGGAAGTGAGGAGGGATTTCAGTTCATCATACTTGCATTTGGGTACATCTTTGAAGGTGGGGTTTTTCGCTCAAGGTTCAACTCTTTCGCTATGAAGCTTGGGAGATGGCACGCGTCATCAACAGGTTTCGTCGTCGCAGTGTCGTCACCTCGCAACGATCGAGGGTGTTGACGTTGACCAGCAATGGGATGGCTCGATGTCCATGCCTTCGTACAACATCATGAAAGCTGGGGCGATGTCCACAAGAACATCTTCGACACCACCCACAAGGTTTCTGGTGAAGAACGGCGCAATGACCACGAAAACTCTGTATCAAGCAACGCGCTTAGGATCAGGATGTCCAACAGCTCTACAATCGGAGCTCGATTCTGATATATGCAATCGATCATGACCTCCACAAGCAGCAAAACATGGACTTGGCTGCTACAGGGAGGAGGAATTTGGGGATACTCCGGCTCCTAAGCAGCTCAAGCCATTTCTGCAATGTAGGACCAACACCACCGTTGCCCATTCATCCAAACAGGTCTGAGCTGACCTCCTCGCAACGCGCTTGAATAAACATCTTAAATGCACATCGACCATAGGCTGCCATGCGCAGAATTCGCCAGGCGACGGGCAATTACAGTCGATTCAGTAAAAGAGCTGCACGCAGAACAAGTGGGTCGGAGAAGGGGCCGCACTGTGCGCCCTGGCCATAGATCAGCCTGTGCTAACCGCAGCCAAAGGGGCACACCTAATGCCCGAACGTGGTCAACGATGGATGGATAGATAAAGCCTCTCTGCATGCGCTCCAACTTCTCGGGCCATAGCCACGATCGTATCAGCTTGCAACACATGACCGTACGCGTGTCGGATCGATTTCCGAGCGCCATGCGGATGGTTACCAACCAGAAGGGAGAGACCATTATGTGCAGGAAGCTATCTCGGGTCTGTCTCGGGATGTATTGTTGCACTCAGAAGCTCCGCCGACCGCACCATGTGACAGTTCGAGTGAAAATGAACTTACCTGCACTTCAGTAGTAGCAGTAGTAGTAGTAGTAGTAGTAGTAGTCGTAGTGGTAGTGGTAGTGAGTGGTAGTGGTAGTGGTAGTGGTAGTGGCAGTGGCAGTGGCAGTGGCAGTGGTAGTGGTAGTGGTAGTGGTAGTGGTAGTGGTAGTGGTAGTGGTAGTGGTGGTGGTGGTGGTGGTGGTGGTGGTGGTAGTAGTAGTAGTAGTCACGCGGTGGAACTGGCAGAAAGGCTTTGCCGTGATCCAAAAGCCCACCAGCGCATGGAGAATACCCTCATGCAGAGTGTGCCACAGATCATGTCTGAGGTCATCGAAGCCGGAAGCACTGCTTCATCAGCACCTAGGCCTGCACCGGGGGCACTGCCCACCAACTCTGGAGTTCGCGTCGTCAGCGAGACCGTCCTCAGCAGCATAGAGGAGGGCGACTTTGGCAGGATCATGGCGGCCATAGACAAGGAGCCTCACTATCATGGAATTACTGCTGAGGCCGTGATGCGCAACATCCCCAGAGGCTTGTGCACTCATCCCGAAGAACCGGACTGGCTTTCAGTCCGCTATCGGCGCCTCAAAATCCCCAACGAGCTTGGGGTCACACATCATTTTCTGAAGAGCAGCCACAACCCCATTGTGCTGGAGCCACCTGACCCGCCACCCAAGCATGTGGACGCAGCGCCAACCAGCTGAAGCCGAAGCTCGGCAGCAACGACAGCCCATCAGCTGCCTCCCCGAAACCCACACCCAACACACCCCCGCGCAGCCAACGCCAGATTTGGGCTCGACCTCCCTCCCATTCCAGCTGGGCTCTCCACTCAAACCCCGGGCCACAGGCCGTTCGCAGCTATCGAGGACCCAGCCACTGCGCCGTTTGGCCGAAGCCCCTCCGCAATCCTTTCCCCAGCAGGCTCGCGCAGATCAGACCATGCCGGAGACAGCGTCCGATGCGGCCATGCCCTTTCGGGTCCGCCACCAGCACTCCCGTCACTCCCACAGCATCGGCGATTCTGGTTACACATTTCACCGCCTTTTTTGCGGGCGCTGCTACAACAAGCCCAGCAGATCAGCTCACCCCTCGAAAGAAGTACGGCTAGAGCAACCCTTCGCAGCTCAGTCGGTAGGGGTTAAGTGAGGTGTCATCTAAGGTTCAGGTTGGGGCACGAATTGCGCGTGCACGATGTCCTCCATGTGGCATCGTCGACTCGAACGCCAATTCTCTCGACGATGTTTCAAGCTGAAGCCAGCGGCAGCTTTTGCAATGCTCGCAAAGCCAGCAGCCTTTGGTTGTTGCGTGACCTGATTCCACGATCTCCTGTAACTTTCTCGTGCACACTAAGCTGCAAGTCGTCATGTGTGTCGCGGTGCTCGGTCACCCGTACCC